AACTCAGGACTCTGGCTCCTTGTCCCCAGCTGTTCCCACCAGGCCCTGAAGGTCTAGGTCAAGCCCCTTCAGGACCCATCCAGGAAAGCAGCAGGAAAACAGACCCCCAGGGGAACGTGTACACCAGCGACTGGAGCCCAGGTGGCCTTTGGGCCCTGGAGAGTTGGGACCCCAGGATCCTGGGGGAGGAGTGAGGGATGGTCGAAGGTGCTGAGGGGCCTGGCTAAAAATCAGAGTCAAATGGGCCAATGCCTGTGGCCAGAGAGTCGGGGGGGGGGGGCGGTCCTTGGGACAGTTAGGACCATGGCCAGGCCTCCCCCGAGGCCTGTGTTTGGCCTGATCATGAAGGGTCACTCCCAGCCCTGGGTATCCCCCATTCCTGAATGGGACAAGAGAGGGGAGGGTGCACAGGCTGGGGCCCCCAAGGTAGGGAGACCCAAGGGGCCCAAGTGTGACCTGCAATGGCCAGGCCAAGCCACCTCACGGGAGCCTCTCACTCCCAGCCCTTGGGCAGCGTGGGGACCTAGGGAAGGGAGGCAGAGGCTACTGGGTTAACAGGAAAATCTATTTGGGTCCGACTTGAATAATTGAGTGGCTCAAGACTTATTCTTGGCTCTGGGGCAGGCTGTGGTCTGTGAAGATGGACATCATCTCGGCCTTGTTTTTAAGGAGCTGAGACACCACCCACTCAGGGTCCCCACCTGACTTTCTGTGCTGGGACAAGAAAGCAGAGCTCCTGTGGGGGGCGTGGAGTGGGCAGGACATGCCCCCTGAAGCCCCCTCCCCACACACACGTCTGAGGCTTCCTGAGTCTCTGCGAATGGCCCTGGCTGGCAGGTCCCCACCTCAGTGCGCCCACCTGACTCCACGGACTCCTCCCTGCCACTGCCCCTCTACCCGAACTCCCAGCCTGGCCCACGTCTGACCCTTGCACCCCTGAGCCCCGCCCCCTCTGAGAAGCCCTGGCCGCATCCACGCCGCATCCCCAGGGTGGGCAGGCTCTCGGCACACCGCCCAGCCCTCTAGCTCTTCGCCGCGTCTCTGATCTGCGCCCTGTGCCTCGGTTGGCCGTTGGAAGGGCTGCGGGGCCCATGGCACCCCCCGCCCCCCGCTGCGGGCTCTCTTCCTGGAGGCCAGCGTTACCGTCACCAGAGCCAGACAAAGACCTCGCAAGAGAACAGACCAATAACCCTCGGCAATATCGACCTAAAGTCCTCAGCAAAACACGAGCAGATCAAACCCGGCAGCAGCGTGAAAGGGCTGCACATCAGGACCGAGTGCAACTCACTCCAGAAACGCAGTGGCTCGAAATACGACAGTCCACCCGCGTGGCACAGCACGGTACAGAGTGACGGAGAACGGTCAGCTCGATAGGCACAGAGTGCGGCACAAACCCAAGCCCCGTTCACGGTGGAGACACCGAGACACTGGGGGCAGGGAGCCCCTTCAACCCGGACAGGGCGCTGGTGCGGAGCCCGCGGCCCGCACCGTCCCCACCGGGGACCCAGCGCTCTTCCTCAAATCAGGACCAAGACAAGGACGTCTGCGCTCGCCACTGGGATTCCACGTCCTACTGAAGTCCCAGCCGGACAGTCAGGCAAGGACGGGACGGGAAAGGCCTGCGGGCGGAAAGGAAGGACGAGGAGTAAAGCATCTCTGCTTGCACCGGACGGGACCTCACAGGGAGAACAGCCCAAGACCGCGCGCACGCAGGCGCACGCAGGCGCACACGCACGCAGAGCTAGGAAATCAGAGCGCAGCTGCAGAGTACGAGGCGCAAAACCCCGCGGTGTTTCCACGTGCGAGCAACGAGCGATCCCAAAACGAAACTCAGGAAACAATTCCATTTACAATTGCGTCAGAAAGAACAAGTACTTAGGAACAAATTTAACCAAAGGAAGGGTAAGACGTGTACACTGAAGGGGCGCCTGGGGGGGCTCGGTGGGTTCAGCGACCGAGTCCTGGCTTCGGCTCAGCTCATGATCTCAGGGTCGGGGGACTGAGCCCCGTGTAGGGCTCTGTGCTGGGTGTGGAGCCTGTGGAGAGTCTCTCTGTCCCTCTGCTGCTCCCCATCCCTCTCCCTCCCTCTCAAAAAAAAAAAAAAAAAAAAAAAAGTCTCGACACCGAAAACCACACGACGATATGATGGACGGAAGTTCACGGAGAAGAAAGGAAAAGGCGAGGGAGCCCGGACGGCGACACTGAGCACCACTAGGGGCAGCGCTCCAGAGCTGGTCAACGCGGTGACCGCCACATGTCCCACTGCCTTTTCACGGAAATGGACAAGCCGGTCCTGCAACTCCCACGGAAGGCAGGGCCCAGGAGAGCCGGCCATGAAGGGTCACGCGAAGGGTCAGAGATCTCCGTGCAGGAGCCGGAACCGCAGTCCTCTTAGGGGAGGTCTCCGCGACCCCGGATTAGGCAATGATTTCTTCAACGTGACACTGAATGCACCAGCAACAGACACATTGGACTTCACCGAATTCGACAGCTTTCACGCACAAGAACACCACCCGGGGAGTGAAAAGCCAGCCCACAGACTGGAGGGAGCCCATGTGTGAGTTACGTAACCCGGAGGGGTCTGGTACACGGAGCACAGAGAGAACTCTCACAACAACACGACAGCCCCATTTCAAAAAGGGCAAAGATTTCTGCAGACATTTCACCCAGAAGGATGTACAAATGGCCAATGATTGCATGAAAAGGTGCTCCCCGTCCTCCGGGAAATGCACAGCACACTTGGGGGCGGCCAGAATCAGAAGCGGCGGGGGGAGACCTGGGAGCCCTGTGCTTGCTGGGGAGTTGCATGCCCCTTCCCCAGAAGGTAACACACAGCCGCCAAAGGACCCAGAGACTGCCGTCCTCGGTACACACCTGGGGGGACGGGACGCCTGTGTCCATACAAACCCCCACCCGCCCATGCGCATGGCCGCGACACAGGCTCTCGCCGGACAACGGAGTTGCACTGGGCTGGCCGCAGTGGTCCCGTGTGGCACCACACCACGGAGAACCGTGAACATTCTGTGGTCGGACACGGGCCCAGACACGCGAGAGCAGCCAGACATGAAGGCTGCACACCGCGTGCCTCTAGGGACTCGGGTGCCCAGAGTTGCCAGGGCAGGGGGAGTGACGGCTCCCTGGGTGGGGGCGTCCCCATGGGGTGACGAAGTGGCTTGGGAACTCGACACTAGAACCGACGGCACGAGATTCTGAACATGCTAAAAACCAATGAAACCCTTGAAAAAAAAAATGCTTAAAATGGCAGTTTTTGTGATGTGACTTTAATATCAAAACAAAAACTACTCGGGTGAGTTGTCTGTAAACTCCTCTCCAGGCTCTGGCCTGTTCTTCACGGAGGGGGGTGGGGACCCCACTGTGGCAGGTCGTGCCCACCCAGCCCCTCTGGTCACTGAGGAGCCACTGTCTTTCAGCAAAGCCCCCCTCCCGCCCCAGTGGGAAGCCAGGGCCATCCGCCTGCACCCCTTAGAGAGGGCAGAGCCCTGGGGGTTGTTGCTGGGACCTGGTGCCAAGCCTCCCAGTCCCCCAGGGAAGCTCTCCTGTCCACACGGCTGCGGGGGGATCCATAAGGCACGGTCTGGACCTGCGAGGCCTGGTCTTGTCTGTCCAGCCCTCGCAGGACTTGTGTTCTGGGGGCCTGGGGTGGAGGAGAGGCTGGGAGGAGATGGGGACTCCTTTCCTTCCTGTTTCTTCCTTCTCACTGGAGCTGTTAGGCAGCCTTGCAGCAGATGGCCATCAACCCTGGCCTCCACGAACCACCCCCCCAAATGCTGTCCCTTCCTTTGTGCAGGACTGACGAGGCAGGCTCTATGCCACACCCCTCCACACGGTGCACCGGGGTCTGGGGTGGTGTGTAGCTTAGCCCAAGGCCAGTTGGTAAGGGGCAGTCAGGCCGTCTGGGCCCGGCCTTGACCCTGCACTCCCACCCCTGGTCCTGATGCATTTGGGCAAGAAAAGCCCTAGACCGGGACAGGAGGGCTGGTGTTGACTGCCAGGCAGGTAAAGCCAAGAGCTTTGCAAGTGGGGGTGGGGTGGGGGGGCGAGACCTGCTTGGACAGGAGGACGGAGCCTGGTGCGTTCCTTCCCACAAGCAGAAGTCCCCTGAAAGGCATGTGGAACATGCTGGGACCTGCCATGGGGGAGAGCCCCTAAGCACCTAGTGGCCCTCCACAGCCCCACCTGCCCTGAAGCAAACCTGCTTCCCACTGAGATGTCCCACACAGGGGCCACTGCCATCGAGTGGGGCCGCCTGACTCAGCCTCCCCCCAGTCACCCGGCCTTGTAAGGGGGCCTCAGGAGCACCATCGGAACAGGAAGGGAAGGGGGCCAGCAGCCTGCCTCGCTCACTGTCCCCCCTCGTCTCTCCCCAGGGCCTGGGCCCCAGAGAAGAGCTCACTTCTCACAAATGGAAGATGCTGGGGGGTGGGGGGGAGTGCTGAGCCCCAGGGTCGTCCAGACCATCACGACCAGCTGTTTGAGAAATAGTATGAAAGGCAAGAAAGGCCTCTTAAAATCACACTTGTCCGCAAATGCCAGAGTGTGGAGGGAGCCTGGAGGGCAAGCGGGCACGCAGAGGCCTGGGGGCTGTGGGTGAGGGGCACGGCCCCCGCAAGCTGGGCCTTGCAGCCCTCAGTGAGACAAGCAGCCGGGACAGAGGCACGCTGCGTCCTTGCAGGGGAGGTTGGGCTTGGGGTAAGGAGGCTGGTGGGTGAGGGCACTCAACTGGCTTCCAGCCTTGCAGCCCCTGGCCGGAACGGCAGAGCCCAACACCGCTCCCCCTGGATCTCCGTGCCAGGCCTCTGGCACCCGGGCCAGCCCACAGGGTCCCTGATCCCCGAGCGTGCCGGTGCTGGGCAGAGACCACTCCCTATGGCTGACTGGCCGGGGTGGAGGTGGGGGGAACCGCTGGTTTAGAAAGGAGCTCTGGAAAGATAAAACGCAAAAGCAAACACAGCAGCAGTGTGTGCTGAAGGGCGGACGGATGAGCAGCCGGGATAGACACACAGTCCGGCAGCCCTAAGCCCACCCGGGCACTTTAAGAACAAAAACAAAATACATCAAAGAACCCCCAGAACCTTAAATGCCCTTCCTGGGCCCTGGGAGAGCACTGTCGGGCTCCTCCTGGGGCCGGCGCTCTGTGGCGGGAGATCTGTCTCCTGCAGGCTCCTGACAGCCTCGTGCCCGAGACCTTGGAGCAGGAGAGACCACTGCCCGGGCCCACCCAGCAGGGCCAAGCCTACAGCCGTCCCCGTCGCCGGAGTGGCCAGCGTGTGCTGAGGCCTACAGCTGGGGACCCACAGCTCCGGGCAGGAGCGGGAAGCCGGGCAGCCCGAGCGCTTCACCGTGTCTGGCTCAGCTCCCCCACTGCCGCTGCTGGTCTTTGTGGTGTGTCTTGGGGCCTCAGCTGTGGGCCTCAGGGGGCCTGTCCTCACCTTCGGGCTCTTCCGAATCTCCCTTGGGGCACACCTTTTGCCCCTGTGCCTTCTGGCTCCTGGTAATGACATTGAGAAAGGGCAGCATCAAATGCAGAGCCAGCCCGGAGGCCCCCTGGCTCCCCAGGTGGTGCTGGAAGCCACCGCTGATTCGAGAAGGGACAGATCCTGCTGGACAAGGGCCGCATGCATTCCAGCTGGCCAGCGGCCACCCCGGAGAGCTCGGAGGCGGGGGCGGCCCATTCTCAGAACAGCTCAGCTGGGCTTAGGACAGTCCTCGACGTAGACAAAAAAGGAGCTCGAGGAAAAGCCGACGGTAACCTCTCTGGGCCTGTCAATGCCACGCCTGTTCTGCACATGGACAGTGGGCCACGGGTCTGTCTCGTGGTGTGGTGCCACGGGAGGGTTGAATAACCAGCCACACATCCGCACCAGGTCTCCCACCAGACCTTACAGGACAAGAATGACTATGGCCGGCACGCGGTTAAGGAAACCGAGGCCCGGAGAATGTCACGGCCATGGCAGCTTGTGCAGGCCCAGAACGGAAACTGGGTCCATCTGACCCTTCCTGAGGAGCCCAGGCCTCGGCACCACACAAACAGTGGACAAGGCAGGTGGGGGCAGCCCTGTGGGCTTCAGGAATTCCCACTGGAGTCAGCCCAGGCCCCATATCCTGCTGCCTGGTCTCACCATCCCTCCAGGGATTCCGCGTCCTCCTCCCAGCCCCGCAGGGACGCGGCCCCACCACGATCACCCGACACCGTCGCCACCGCCGCTGAGCGTGCCCAGCACTCACCTCTCCTGTGCTGGTGCGGGGGGCCCCGGGGCTCCCAGGGTCCTGCGGATGTAGTCTCGAGAGCGGATGTCAGCCTGAGGAGAGGGGGTCCCGTGAGAGGTGCTGGCGTCTACACAAGCCCCCACCCCACGACAGCCCGGTGCAAACTCTTGCTTCCTGGACAAAGCCACACAGGTGACACCAGGCTGTCACAGGCCCAGACTTCGGGAACAGGAGCCGCAGCCCCGTGAGTGACACAATGGCAGGTCCCCGAAGGGCCCGAGCGGACAGGCTGAGCGGGAGGCCCTGGGTTGTCCCTGGGACCCAGCGGTGCCCCCGGGCTCCCGCCGGCTTCGTGGCCTGTGCTGCTAGAGCTTGTGGTTCTGCCCCAGCCTGCTCTCCCGTCTTCCGGCTCGTGTCTGCTACAAGCTCCCCCCCAAGGGAAGTGTCACCAGGTCTGCGGAGTCACGAGCACAGTGGTCGAGCCCACCTGAGGGACGGGTCTCTGGCCACGGCGGGACCCCGGAGGTGCCCCTAGAGGCCCAGATCCTCCCAGCCCAGCCACGGAGCACCAGGGATGGCGAGCCACAGCCATGCGTGGGGTGCTGCTGCCACCTGCAGGCCGTCCTGCGCACCAGCAGCCGGGGAAGCTGCCAGGTCCCCAGGAGGCGGCCGTGGAGGCACGGCCAGGATGTCACCGGGGAGCTGAGCTGTGTGGAGCAGCTCTCAGCAGTGTGGCTGGGGCCCCTGGGTCACCTCGAGATGTCCCGGCACAGGTCACGGGGAGATGGGGGAAGCAGCAGGGACCAGGAAGGTTTCCAGGCGCTTTGCCCTCCTGTCCTATAGCAGCAGCACTGAGCCAGGAACCTGCGCTCCAGGCCTGGACGGCACAACCGGCACCTCTTGTCTAGAAGGGCGCCCCCAGCTCTGAGCGGCCCAGAGAGCCGCTGCTTGGGACTCACACCCAGGTCCCCGCAGGGGGCCTTGCTAAAGGGCTCGTGCCACCCTGGCTCTGGAGGCCCCTTCCTCGGAGTTTCCTGCTGGCATCAGATTCATTCCCACCCCAGGGCCTTGACAGATGTGGGTCCCTGAACCCGGACCGCCTTCCCCCTTCTCCGGCTGGTCTCCTCCTGAGGACGGCTTCTCGCGGGTCCTCACGCCCCAGGCTTCGCTGGGACACACACTTCCCTGAGACTGGTGATGTCCCGTCACCACCGAGCCACCAACTTGTGCTCAGTTCTAGCCCCTACGGGCTGCGTTTCTTCTCAGCCGAGTCAACCTGGTCCCCAAAGTTCCACCCCACCCCGCCCCGAGTCCCTGATATAGGTGCTGGGGGCGTGGTCCAGCCACATCCCACAGTCTCCTGACTGATGACCGGCCCAGAACGAGGCTTGCTGAACACCGCCTGCAGCCCTGCAGAGGACGGGGGCTCCCTCCCAGGCCAGCTGGGCAGGTTGGGCACTGAGGGGTTCGGCGAGGGTGGGCAGGCCGCTCTGCTGCCCGAGCCGCCATCAGCTGACGCTCCCGATGACCCCAGTATGAGGTGTAGGATGGTGCAGGAGGCTGACGCTGCGCGCAGGCCAGGGCGCCAGGAGGAGCTCTGCTGCCCCCGCTTCCCCCCAGGGCCCAGCGGGGCCCAAGCAGGCCCTGCCACAGGAGCTTGTGCTGAGGGCAGAGCAGCGGGCGCACGCGGCCCACCCACCTGTCGCACGGGCTCTGGGATCCGGAACCTGCAGCAGCCTCGGGTCAGACGCACGGCAGCCTCCAGGCTTATCTTGTGGCCCACAGAGACGTAGAGGGGCTTGCTGCTGCGGTCGTGGCTCTTCAGGGCCTAGGACGAGGAAGGCAGAGTCAGGGCGCAGTCGAGACAAGCCCCGGGGCTTCACGACAGGCAACAGGTTGGGGGCAGGCTGCGGCGAGGACAGCTCAGAGGTCCCCTCCACGCAGCCAGGGGTGGGGGGCTCAGGGCACCCCCTGGCTCTGTCAGAGGGGTGGGGGGAGGCGGGCAGGGTCTGGGGCGCAGGAGTGACTGCGTGCGTGTTTGTGGGTCCCACCCTGCCTGGGGGTGCAGGCCCAGGCTGCTCACCATGCCCAGGACGGTCCCAGAGCCTCCTACCAGAGGAAATGAGTCTCCTCCAGCCTGTAGAAGTCGTATCTGGAAAACAAGAAGAAAAAACATGGAAAAAGTCTTCTCGGTGGAAGGCAGAGGGCAGGCCTGAGTAGCCGCTGGGTGAGGCGGGGGAGGGCCCAGGTCTCCACATGATCTGTCCTTGCGAAGCCAAGCGGTCTCGTGGCCATGGGCATACCCGTCCCATGAGCGGACTCGGCACCCAGGAGGCAATCCCTACACCGCCCGACCCTGACGAGGCCCTTGGAACTCAGTTCTCTCTTCCTTGTTCTGCGGACAAGGAACCGGGGCCTGGAGAAGAGGCAGCAGCCCGCCCAGGCCCCAGGACTGATGCCTGGAGGTGCCGGGCTGCCATGGAGGCCTGGCACCCGCCGACGCAGCCTGGCGCTTCCTGTGGGCCAGAAGCCCTCCCTGCCACGCTCTCTCCTGTGAGGAATTTAAGGATGTTTGATTCAACCCAACGAAGTCTTTTTAGGCGCAGGGATTGGTCCACTGAGTGACTCAGGAGCCTCCTCAGTTGGGTCTGGGGCCCGTCAACTCCACCGCCAACTGTTCTGGGCAGCACAGGTCTGCCTGGAGGAATGAGACAGATGTGATCGCTGTTCTCCTCTGGAGTGGGGTGTCACGTTCCCAATGCCAACCTTGAGGGGCCAGAGGAGGGGGATGCTGGGAGAAGGTGGAGTGAGGAAGGGCCGAGGCAGGCTGGGCAGCACCAACCCTCGGGCCCTGGACTGGGGCTGGCGAGAAGCAGAGAGGGCCTCACGGGCTCCCCAACGTCCTGCCCCAGTGACTGGAGGCCCTTGCCCTACGCAGGGTGCCGCAGCAACACAGGTAGCAGGGATGGGAGCGGCAAGCACATGCCCAGAAGGCTGGGGGAGCTCAGAGGGCACTCCTCCAGGCTGCCGCTGTGACCCACGACCCATGGGGGACACGGGCCTCCCACGGAGAACGGCGGGGCTTTCTTCTCTGGGCTGAGGAGAGTGCCGGCAGGCCAAGCCGGATCAGAGGTGCCTACGGGGCTGGCCCCTGCGTGCCCCCCACAGGCCCTCTCCCTGTCCTCTCCTTGTGCGGGCGTCGCCGCGGCCCTCACCTTCCCCTTGTGCGGGCGTCGCCGCGGCCCTCACCTTCTCCTTGTGCTGGGCGTCATTCTCCAGCCCGTCCACCTGCAGAAGCTTCTTGGCCACCCCGACGCAGGGCAAGTCTGTAAGGACGCCGAGGTGGCAGGCCACTCCGAAGCCTACGGGGCAGAGGATGAGGCAGGGTTGGCGGGTGGTGAGCCCAGCAGTGCGGAGACGGTGCAGGGACAGAGGACAAACCAGAGCGTGCTGAGTGTCCCCAGGTAAGCAGAGGCCTGTGGGCAGACTGAGCGCGGAGGAGAGGACTGGGAGAGCCGCCCGACCTGGGACGTGGCCCTCTGCCTCACGTTCACGGTTGTCAGGCTGGGGTGGAAGACGCCTCCTTCCACCTGGCGAGGTCGGGAGCCAGATCAGTTCACAATACTTCACACTGCTTCTCCTCCCACTTTCTGGCACTTTCCATCCTCTTCTCTTTGCAGCTGCCGTCAGGCCTCAGCTTCCCTCCCAACTCATTCTTGGGGCTCTTGCCAGGCAATGCGTATGCAGTGACTGGGGGCCTGGCCCCACGCTGGCACCCACGGGTCCCAGGGCCAGCCTTCCCGGGTCCCTCTGATGCCCCACCCTCAGGCTTATGTCCCCGCACAGGTCACTCTGGGGTCAGCGTCCCAGTGCACAGGTGGGTGCAAAGTTTCCCAGTGTCAGTGGGGAACGTGTCTGGCTTCAGTCGAGGGCCTGTCACTACTTGAGGTGGGACGAGGGGGACGAGGTGGGACAGGCTCGCTGAGCAGCAGCCAGGACCAAGGGGCCGAGCGTGCCTGAGATGGGCCAGCGCAGAGCGCTAGGGGAGGCCTCAGGGGCGAGTAGGAAAGAGGCGGGAGTGACAAGCAGCAGGATTCTTTACTGGGCGGGGTCCTGACAACGCAAGCAAGCCCAAGAAAGCGCGGCCAGGGCCTGGCTAGCAGCAGAGGGCCTGGGGCAGGGCACAGGCACTACAGAAGCACACTGGTCGGAACTGCCCCCTCCTGGGCCGTCTTTCGGGAGCAGGATTACCTCGGTGGTGGAGAAGCCCATTTCCATCCACAAGGAGGACCTAGAAGAGCCACAGGTGAAAGTCAGTCGGCCGAACTGCCCCTCACCCATCAGGCCAGGGCATCCTGGAGCAAGACGGGCAGGTGGCCACGTCTGGGAGGATGGCGGCTTTTTAGAAAACCTGAGCCCTTTCCTCAAGGTGAGAGTGCCTCCTTTCCAGGGAGTTCCGAGGTCTCCCCGTGTGGCAGGTAGTGCGGCCGGCCCAGGCCTTCCCTCCTGGGTGGAAACCGAGACCCTTCTCCCCGGAGTCAAGGTACCTGCCTGGGGCACAAGGCGGGGCTCCTTCTCCCGCAGCCGCCGCACCGCGTCCACCAGGAAGGGCACCTCTCGGAAGGCCAGGAAGCCCGACACGTAGGGAGCCGGCAGGCTAACCATGCGGCAGTCCTCATACACCACCTGTCACCGGGCACCCAGGTCACAGGTGGGCGTGGCCCTTCGTCCTTCCAGCCTCGTGGAGCTGCCAGCTCCCTCCCTGTCTCCCAGCCCCAAGTCCCCAGCCCCACCCATCTGGGGGGAGAGTGCCTGGTGACAAGGTGTGCACGGTGACAAGGTGATCATCCTGCAAATGGGTGGGGGGGTAGTCAGCCTGTGGCCTTCCAAAGGTGCTCACACGCTTCCCACACTGGACCCCCCTGCTCGGGTCCCCGCTGTCCGCCCCACACCCGGCTGCTGCTCGGGTCCCCGCTGTCCGCCCCACAGCTGGAGGCCGGCCATCCGGAGGCTCAGACAAGACAGAGCACGTCTGTGAAAAACTGACAGAGGAAGGACGCCGCTGCTCCCCGTCAGAAGCAAAGGCCAGGCCTTCGCAGAGGTTACGAGCACAAGAAAGGCCAGCCGGGCTCTGTGAAAAGAGATTTCAAAGAATCCAGAAAAGGACAAGTGGGCTCAGAGCTAGACAATCTGAAAGAGAAAAGAGGTCCCAAGGGACAGGAGTCTAAAGAGAGACCGTGAGGCGGCCAGAGGAAGAGCCCTGGGGCCGTCCAAACCACACCTTCACCCCCCCCTTGAAGCTGGGCTCGAAGTGCCTGTGCCCCAGAGAAGGGGCTGCTGTCGCCGAGCACAAGGCCGGGGCCTGTGCCTGCAGCATCCTGACGGCGGACTTGTGGAGGCTTATCCAACTGCCAGTGACGCAAAGCGGGGGGCTCTGGGCCGCAAACAGGGCAGAGAAACGGCTTCGCGGTGAGCCCGGCGGCTGGAGCGGAGCCCCAGGATGCTCAAATGTGGGCTGAACTCTCACAGGTTCACGGCTGCTTATGTCCGAGTCTGTCCGCACGAGCTCCAGAAACCGGAGATCCACAAGGACATGAAGCTCCGCAGACACCTCGTCCATGGCACGACCCAAGGACAAGCCTGTGACTACCGTCCGGGCGCACCTACATGTGGAAGCGAGCGGCTGGGAGCAGCAGAGGCAGCTCTCGATCTGGGCTGGGCGAGGACCGCTGGGGACTGGGGGCGGATGGCCGGCGCCGGGGGCTGGTCGGAATAAGACCTGTGGGCAGTCCTGGCCAGCGGGGACCTGAGGGAAGAGGCATGGGAGGACACGGCACCAGCAGGGGCCTTGCAGGAAGACGCGGCCTCTGGGGACAAACAGGGAACCCTGCAGGGTTGTGTAGAGAACGAGGCCAGGAGCGTGAGGCCCTTCAGGGACAAGAGTCAAGAGGCGGAAGGCATGGTGACCGTCGTCGACTTGGAAAAGGACACCACTTGCTGGAGTGACTACATGTCACCGTCCCTCGCGATCTGAGAAACCCAGCCAGCCGCCCACAGCGCCGGGCCTCCAGACACCTGTGGAAGCACGGCTCGCCACGCACACGGAGGGCCGCATCAGCTCAGATGGCGACGACCCGAACTCGCGACTCGGTAAGCGCCGCGGGCTGCCGTGCGGCAGTGGCAGACAGTGCGCTATTCCTACACGCAGATGAGAGCACGAGGCAAAAGGTAACACCTCAGGACGGCCAGAAAAGCCAGAGCGCGTGGCCGAAGACGAGAAACAGGGCGATGGGGCCGGGCACGTCAAGCCTCAATGCAAGCAGCGTTCCAGAAAGAAAGGAAATCTGACCCCACACGTTCAAAGGGCCAGGTGCTGGCCTGGGGACACGGACCCGCACCAGCCGGCTTGGGAAGTATGTGAGTGAGCGAGAGGAGTAAAGGAAACAGGCGCGGTCACGGGCACCCCCGGCCCGAGTCCACGTGACGTCCACGTGACACAAGGGCAGCAGGGGGCTCCATGACACGTCCGACCCCTGCAGACGGGAAAGCAGTACCAGCTCGAGAGGCAACTGGGGAAGAGATACAGACAGGGATCCAGGCGGTGCTACGGGACCGTGAAGACTGCTGTCACGGAGGTCCCTCTGGGGACAGGCCTGCTGAGGGGCTCCCCGGTGAGCTGTCACCACCTCCGGGAGACACCTGCGGAGCCCTTGGGACGCGAACGGAAAATGCGACCTCAAGTAGGCAATGGCTGGGTCTGAGCAGAGAGAACACACGTGTTCAAGGTGTCACTCTTACAGCGTTTCAATGTTTACACGTTTCCCAGTTAGAAATCTGGAAAAAGGGACAAACTCGGTCGTGTGACAGCTGTGTGAGCATGACCCGGTCCACAGTCCCTGGGAAGATCTGCAGCTTTCAGCCTCGGTGACGTGGCCCCGAACACTCAGTCTCTGTGCATTTAGACCGGCCGGACTCGGGGGGAAACTCAGTTCGGTCCTGGGGCCTGACGTACAGCCGGACGCCGCTAAGTGCGGGCATCCCGGGGGGCCAGCAGCAGGGGAGCTGGAAGTCACGTCAGCGATCCTCCGAGCACAGAGTGGGGCAGAGCAAGGGAGAGCACAGAGCGGCCTTCAGAGAGCGGGACGGTGGCGTGGAGGAAGGCGGGAAAGGTCTGGTCTGGGCCTGCTGCCTGAGGCCCAGTGGACGGGCAGAAGCCATGGACGTCTCCGCTCCCTTGGGCAATACGAGCAGGCGTCCAACCACCGGGCTCTGGTGCAAGGCCCCCACTCGTCAGGGATGCTGAGGAAAGGGCTCTCGGCTGCGCGGGCCGCCACAGGGACGCCTGTTTAAGGAAGCGGACTTCCAGGTCGTACATGGGGGTCCTTTTTCTTTCCAGAACTGAGCTGGGGCTCTGGGATTCACGTACTCTTAAAAGCTTTATTGAGATAGAATTTACTACCCAAAGGTCCTTGTTTGGAGCACGCACTTCAACGTTACTTATGGAGTCGTACATCCTTCTGATCCTAGAACATTTTCATGACCCCCCCCAAATAAATCTTGCCTTCATTAGGAGTCACACCCCGTCCCTCCCTCTCCCTGCCCCTCAGCAACCCGGCGTTTACTTTGTCTCCAGATCCGCCTAAGGGGCCTGTGTAGGCCTGCGGCAGGCTGACCGGGCAGACCTGCCACCAGGCACTTCGGAGCCTCGGCACCAGGCTGTGGCGGAGCCCCTCTCCTAGTCTAAGCTCCCCAGCGGGGACGATGAACGCGGGGTCCACCCACGCAGCAGGCACTCTGCTCCGTGCCAGGGTTCCAGGAGGAAGACAGGCTCCCCCCACGCTGGAGAACCCCGTTGGTGCGGTGACTTGGTTACGACGGAGAAAGAGACCACGGACGGGGACGAGAGGCGGTGAACCCCGCAGCGAGGGGAAGAACAGAGACAGACCCCGGGAACTCGGTTCCCCGAAGTGAGAGACTAGCGGACGTTTATTTTTTGAGGGCCAACGCCTCGCCTTCCGCACGTGCTCTCACTTACCTCTCACAACCAGGCTGTGTGTTCCCGAGTTAGGAACGGACGTGAGGGGCCTGGGGGTGCAGTGGGAGCAGCAGAGGGGAGGTATGGACCCCGGCGGTCTGGTTTCCGAGGCTGTGCCCCTTCCCCGAGGCCACCCTACAAACTGACCAGGGGGACCTGGGGGCCAGGCTCCCCGGCCACCCCAAAGCCAGCTCTCGGTGTGCGGCGGGCGCTCAGTGCGTTTTTGCCACGTCTGGGCTAACAGGGTCCTCCCGGCGAAACGAAAGACACAGAAGCGGGAACACTCGGTCTTCGGGAGCAGCCGGGGAGGGAGGGCGAACCCCGGAGCTGCAGAGCTTGTCAAGCTCTTCTTCAGTCAAGGCTTCCTCACCTGTGGACCCCAAACGAATCCCGGGCGTCCCGCTGACTTGCGCGCTGTCCGAGTGTCCTCCACGGGCAGGCCCGGAGCTAGGCGCCGGCGGCCACGCGGGTGGGCACAGCGACGTGGCTCCCATCACTGCGGAGCTCACGTTCTGGGAGGGCAGAGGGACCCGCCACTCCCACCCAGCGCAGAAAAGGGGAACGAGAGGGCGCGGAGTCATTCCTGGATTGGCAGGGCAGGGGAGGGCAGGGGAGGTGCCTACGGGGACCTTAACTTATCAGCAAGTCACCGTCCCAGGGACCAGGCGGCCACAGAGCGGACACCGACCTCGGAGCGAGCCACGCGGTGTTCCTTAGGACGGTTGTGCCGCTGGCAGCACGGAGAGGGTCGCAGCGGGCATAGCCAAAGGCAGGAAACCCCGGGAGGCTGAAGGAAGGGGGACGGGGTGCAGCCGGGGGCAGATTCCTGAACACCCAGGAAGGGCAAAACGGAGCCAGCGGGACGGGGCGGAGCTGAAGGTGTGCGTGGGCCTCTGGGGACACGCGGACGCCCAGCCGGGGCAGCTCCGGCGCACGGCTGCGGGTCACGGGGATGGGACGCCGGAGCGGTGGACCCAAAGCGGAGACCGGAGTGACTCAGACGTTAGGTCACGAAGCCTCCCCCGTTTCTACTTCGCTCCGTCCTTCTGCAAAGGCTTCCCGCCCCGCTCAGGGAACCCACGAAAGCAGACGCGGGCTCTGCGCGCGCCGCGCGGGGTTACCTCGAGCTCGGGGTAGCTGAGCACCACCAGGGACGCGCAGGCGCGGACGCTGTCGCCCTTCAGGAAGGACACGTCCACGCCCCCGACCCTCCGCAGCCCCGAGAAGGCGGCGTCCCGCTGCCACGCCTCCGTGTCCCCGTCCACGACAAGGGCCTTCAGCCGGGCTTGCTCCCTGAGGGCGACACACGTCCAGCGGACTCCGGACCCCGCAAGCCCGGGCCCGGGGCGGCGGGGGCTTGAGGCTCTTCCCTGGGGCACTCCCGGTCTCACCACCCTCTTCCCGGGGAGCCCGGCCTCGGGGACTCCCCCTCCGCAGTCCCGACCCCGCGGCCCGGGGACTCCCCCTCCGCGGTCCCGACCCCCGGCCCGGGGGGCCCCATCCCGGAACACCCCTTCCGTGGTCTCGACCTCCTCTTCCCCCCGCACCGAGACCCGGCGCCGGAAGCAAGCCCCGCTGACCTCACGGACTACAACTCCCGAAGCACCGCTCGTCTGCGCACAGGAAGCGGGACGGGCCCCCGCAGCCCCAAAGTCACTCCAAACCCCAAAACTTGGCAGCCAGCCAAGCACATTACCGTTTCCAGAGCGACAAAGTCTCCTCAGGCGGCCGCGCCTCAGCCTCCCCGGCCATGGCGCTCCCCTCAAGCGCCCCTTCCGGTGGTGTCGCTTCCGGCTTGCGTCACTTCCGGAGGCCCGCGCGCAGGTGCCCGGCGGTCTTCGTGTGCTCGGAGCGGCGGGCTGGGCTCGGGGTCGGACGGCTGTGCTTCCGGACGCCGCCGCCTAGTGGCGGGAGGCTCAGCGGAGCCGCGAAGCGGGGAGTCCGAGCGCGTGCGCGGGAGTCTCCGTCGGGGCGAAGGCTGGGGCGGCGGGCAGAGGGCCGGGAAGCCGAGGGGTGGGCGGACCGGGGCTGGCTGCGTGCAGGGCGGGGCGGCAGCAGGGCGGCTGGCACAGCGCCGTCTGCCCGCTACTGGGGAGGGCGCCGGCCGCGGGTTCCGGGCACCGGGAGGTGTGCGGTGCGCGCGGGGGCGCGGGGCGGTACCGGCCCTCCCTCCCTCCCGGCCTTCTCCGCACTCCGAGGCTCCGGCTCGGACCCCGCCACCGAGCAGCAGCCCCATCCCTGGCACTGCGACTTCCGGCCCAGCGGCCTCGGTGAACGTCCTGAGAGCAGGACGCGGCCGTCCCCGGGCCAGACCCGTGGGTCACCGCCACACTGCCCGCGGACAGCCGTCGGAGCGTGGACTCCGAGCTCCTCCGCGGGACGCACGTTCACTCCGCGCTCCCTTGTGCCCGCCTCGTGCTGGGCGCGGGGTCACGGCGTCCTCACGTGGCTGCGGCGTGCCTGCGGCGCGGACCAGGAGGGGCCAGCCCACTTGATGCCCGCGGTGGGGAAGCCCTCTCTGGGGGCGCAGAGGAGCCGGGGCAAAGAGCACAGCACGTGCAAGGGTCCTGTGGTAGGCAAGACGATGGTGTATTTGAGGCAGAGAAGGCGGCCCGCGAGGCTGACATGGAGGCATTTGACCCACGATGTGTGTCCTACTGGCGGATCAGAGGTGTGTGTGGATAGGAACAGACCGCGTCAGGAGACATGGGCATCTGTGGTTCCGGAAAGGCGTGCCAGAGCATTTCACAGCTGCCAGGGCCTTGAAGGATGGGCAAGTGTCCAGCAGGGAGAAGGAATGAGGACCACTTCTGGGTGCCACTGTACCCCAGGAACGGTGCCTTGTCGTCTCCCTGCACTATCTTCTCTTGCCACAGCACTGAGGTGTTGTACACACCGAGAAGTCCGGGCTTAAAGAGGTCAAGGGCTTGCTCAAAGCCATAGAACTGGCAAACGGGAACATCCAGATTCGTGCTGGGGTCCGCCTGGGACGTGTTGTGCATGGGCCTTGTGGTGGCACACGCGGTGTGGATGAGGAGGGCCTTGGATTGGGTGACAGGAGGCCATTCGTGGGCCTGCTGAGCTGGAGCCAACGTGGCTCTGGGCGGAGGCTCTGCCATACTTCGGGGTACAGGCAGTCAGGGGGCGGGGAACGCTGGGCCCGTGGCGCACTCATCAGGCTGGGTGTGGAGGAATGGGGCAGGGTCGGGGGCAGGTGTGTGTAGGATGTGCCAGGCCTTGGGGCGGCAGTGTGTGGGCTCCAGCTGGGACCCTTCCCTCCGCTTCTCTCTGCTCTTGCCTCGATGTCTCCCCCGAATCCTCCCACCTCCTTAGAAGCAAGCAGGGTCCTGCTCTCCCCAGGCCCCTGATGAGGTGAGGTCAGCACTTGCCCTTTCCTGGTGCTGCCTTTCTAGTTGGAGCTGGGACCCACAGTGCTTGTGCACAAGCTTAATTAGTGACCAAGAAGGGCTTGGAAAGCGCTGCCCGAACCCAGGAATCCCCGACACATCTCAGGGCTGTCTCAGTTAACAGAGGAGCCCGGGACCACGCGTACATCATTTGCACACACACCAAGGTCTTAAAGAGGAGACGGCGACCAGTCATGACGGCTTTCGGGTGAATCACCGCCAGCCGAGCGAGCGTCTCTGCCTGGGCCAAAAAGTAGGAGCTGCAACCGGGAAGTGTGCCGGTGGCTGGAGGCCGTCAGAGACGGGAGCAAGGGGTGGGGGGAGGAGGTGGTCACCGAGGACACAAGCAGGCAGGGGACGGGTCGGTGGGCTTGAAACAAACTGCGGCTGAAAGAGGGGTCTGACAGCAGGGGCAGGCCCTCCTCCGGACGCCCACAGGTTCTCTCCCGGAGGAGCCTTTCCGTTGGGAAGAGAAAATGCAATTCTCCCCCAAGTGGTGTTTTACACTCAAATGGAAGCGGGCCGCTGACCGTTCATCCCTCGCGCATCTTTACTCCCTCTTACAGAGGAACTGGTGTTCCCATCCCGCAGCCCGACTGTGGGCCCAGTGCTCACACCTCAGCGGCAGCGCGGCCGTATCCCCGCGAAGGCGTCTCGGGCAGGGCCGTGCGCGTTTGCCCCTCTGACGCCCAGGCTGCGTGTCCTGCCCCCGGAGTGGGTGGCGCCTGGCGAGTGGGGGCCAACTAGGGATCCCCACCTCTGCGGTCATTTGGTCCTGATGAAAATTTACCTCCCACCTTCTACACCAGAGTGAGCACTTGCTGTCTGGAACCTTCCAAGTGGAAGGTCAACAAAAAACCCAGACTGTCCCCCGAGGCTGAGCTGGTGTCTTCTTGCCACACCCAGAAGCTCCGCCCTCAAAGAAGATTCTTCAGCAGCAGAACTCAAGTTTATTAAAACAAATATGACAAGAAGGTTTTTATTTGCCTGTGCTAAGCCAGTGTATTTCTGTACCAACAAGATAATGCTAGATACGACAGTTAAGGCTTCGAAAGCAGAGCACACAAGATACCTTCATTAAAAAATGCTACGTAAAACTGGGGGGGGGAACCCCCAGCCAAAAAAAAGTTTCACAGCACAAGACCGACGCCTGACTCTGCGCGTGGAGGCGTGGCACAGCGAGGACCCAGAGCGGCACCTGAGGGCCACACCGGCTCCGTCCCAGCTTTGAGGTGTCAAAGGAATTCCAAGTGCAAGTCGGGGAGTTGAAGACGCCCCCCAATGACACGGGCAATCCAGGTGGAAGGGGGGGGCCTTTGCATAGCGTAGAATGACGGAACAATCGTAGGTTCCTCAGTGCAAGGGGCTGTTGTATCAGATGAACCACGGAGGGGTCTAGATTCCTGTGCCCCCTTCCTCAGACACGGAAGAGGACGGGGGCGGCTTCTTCCGCCTGCCGCTCCCTCCGCCACAGCTGCAGGGTCAACAGCAGTCCTGGCAGCATTCCCGGTTCCTGCGGCTCGCACCCCAGGGCCTGATTTCAAGCTGACAGTCGTTCACTCATGGGGACTGTATACGGAAGACGTCCGCCTCTGACTCGTGAACAGAGGGCATCTCCGTGCTAAAGGTGCTGAGCCCCCCGGGAGCAGGAGTCAGGCAGGCCAGAGACCACAAGTGTCCGAGGACATCGTGCAAAAGAGACATGACCCTCCCAGGAAGAAAAGAGGTATAAGATCAGAGCTGATCGACTGCTCTCTTTTTCCTTTTTCAGAAACTTAGCTGGTTCTGTATTCTCTCTGAGTCTGTTTCTATGGCGTGGCTGAGCTCAGAGGAAGAACCAGATAGTCCCATGTTGGGGACATGGAGGTCCCATCAAGAGCACATGTTTATTTAGCGTGATGCTGGCCAGTGCAGAAGTTCCCAGGAAAATGCCAGAACCAAGCCTCTGACCCAAGGTTAACTGATAAACTTTAATTCAGAATTTAAAACCCCCAGAATCAAAAGCGAATCTGGCCACAACACCAGTCTCTTGATTGCGTGCACGAAGAAAGTTCTGACCCGTGACACTCTGACACTCTGCATGAGGGCTGGGAGGTTTGGCCTAAGTCACTCACAGAACATGCTGACTTGTATTTTAGGAGGACCCAGAAAAGGGTCTGGCACTTTTTTACACCTTCACAGAGTCTATAAATACATGTACCACACGCAGGGCTGTAGGGACGGGAAGGAAGAAACAAGCCAGTTCTCCTCCAAGTGCAGAATAAATGAGAAGGAAAACAGAAGCAAAATCAATAGCCCTGTTTCCCCCCGCCTTTCTGGAGAGAGAGGGGCCGGGGTGGGTGCGTGTCAGTCTCCAGCCGGCGAGCTGAAGGCCCCATCCGCCGCGGTCACGGGACGCTGGGGAGCACGTGCCTGGTGCCCCAGAGAATGGAAGGGTGCTCGGTTCTGGTTTCACAGTCTCCGGTTCTCCCTTCCCCATGCTCAGCACTCACAATCCGAGGAGAAACGTGCACATTCCCTGAAGCAGCGTGGCCCTCCTGGCCAGCCGCGGTGCAGCACACGGGGGTCCTGCGGCGCCCCAGGAAGCCCCAGCCGGGGTGGCCGGTGGCAGAGGCCGGCGGAGCAGAGTCTACCTCACTTGCCGAGCCCACCTCAGCTCAGCAGCCACGCTCCACACGGCGACACAACTGCACAGCAGTATCTTCTCGGGGAACTGGAATTCTAGTTCGGGAGGAATTTCAGTGTCTTTGGTCTCCATGTAACTCACCAGAGTGTCTCTGAGGCTGAAAAAGCAAGGCACAAGAGGCAGAGGGTGAAGCACCCCCCACATCACGCAAGGACACTGCCAGGGTCGTCACGGTCCCCAAGTGCTTGTGGAGACCGTCAAAGTCAAGTGAACCAACTACGGAGTCCCTGAGCGGGGACGAGAACCGGCAGTGCGGGGCTCCAGGACGCACCCGCTGCTCCCCGCACTGCGCCGTACAAACAGCACAGCACAGAGCCGACACCGGGAACGGCGGGGTCGCGGTCCCGTAAGCACTCTGCTAACGCGACCTGCTACAAAGAAAACTAGACTCTTAGCTCTAGGGAACCAACAGTGGTCACCAGGGGCAGGCGGGGCGGGGGGCAGGCGGGACAGGCGACGGGGGTCAAGCGCACACAAGCCTCGAGGAGCGTGGAGCGTGGTTCAGAGCCGCGCAAGCGCCACACTGTGCACCGAGAACTAACGTGACACTGTGTTAATTACACGTCAACAAAAGGAGGAAAACTTAAAATAAGATGCACATCTCTGACATAAGTACACTTGCTATGATGAAAATACAGGACTTCCGTAATTATTTTAAGAAA